CCCCGCCGGGGGTGCTGGGTCTGTTCCTCCCTTTCCTCCCCCGCTGCCGTTTGTGGCGTTGCCGCCTCCTTGGGCGCGTAGCGGTGCAGCAGAGAAGGGTGTGGGTCACCTCCGGGGGGTGAGGAAGGTGGAGAGTGTTTCGAAGGGTGAGGATTTCTAGGTTTCGTCAGCCCCACCCGCGTCGTGTCCAGTCCCGCCAGAGCTGTGGGCATGACGGGGGGTCAGGGACTGCAAGGGCGCATCTGCCAGGGAGCTCTCTGAGAGGGTGCCAGTCCCGCACCTTGCTCTGTCTCCTCTGGTCATCCAAGTGCTGAGGGGAAGGTAGAAGAATTTGGGATCGGGGAATGTCACTCCATGTCCTTAAATATTTCCTCTCAGGGCAATAGCCTATTAATATATAAAGAATTATCGTGGCTTATTTTGCTTGCGTACAACCCCAGAAGGAGGAGAGAGATTAAAATTGTGGTTGTGAGAGTGACTGCTGGTTGAGTGACTGCGTATTGGTTTCATCCCAGTTGGCAGCTTGAGGGGAAAATCTGTGCATATCACATCCTCTGTCTTCATCTTTTTTGCTTTCTCTGATAAAAATGGTTTCACCCATTTCTTCCCTGTGCCTCAGAACAGCTATGGAAAGGAAGGGGAATTGAAAAGGGAAAGGCATGCCCCAGTACACTCTCCTAGGCTTCATGCCAGACAGACAGGTCTGTGAAGGATACTGCCCCCTGTTTGCATGGCCTAATGATCAGTTTCCTAATCATAAAACTAACATTAACAGGGTTTTTCCTCTCAGTGGTTATGAGGAGGAGTGTGTGCATTCAGAACTCATCCTCGCTGGGAGCCTGGGAGCACTTTGGGGTTCTGCAGTGCAGGAATAGCTCGAGGTGGTTTTTCCTACCTTCCTTCCCAAAGCTTGCTGCTGGCTGTGATTTCTCAGCCTTGCATTGGCTGGTTTGACTGGTTCATGGGCAGGCTGGGAGCTTGTACAGATCCTGATCATATCACAAGAAGAAATTCTTTCAGGCAAAATCAGCAGTGTTGAACTAGTGCTCAGTTTTAGAAACATGTTATGTAGGAAGCATCTGCTGACTATTTAAGAGATCCCATGAGCTCTTTCATGAGAACAAGATTAAAAAATAATTCCACACCATACTGGATAGCCAGAGACTTGTACTGGATGCTAATGCCCTAGGTGAAGTGGTCAACCATTTGCTCTCTGTGGAGGTGCTGCATGTTATAATTTGAATATTGTCAGTGGATAGGAGGCGACAGGATTGACTGAGTAGCTACCGAGACTTCAGCACCTCTCTCTGCTCCCAAAGAGCCTGAGGACAGATGCCGAGTGTTGGGCAGCGCTTGCAGCTTCCTTTTCCATTCCTCTGTCCATGGACCATGGGGACCATGCAGTGGGGATGGTGGCCAGGGTGGGGCACAGGGAGCAAGGTAAGAACCACGCCGTAGAAGGGTGAGGTAGTGGTTCTTTAAGCAAAATTCAGAAGTCACAATCCTAACAGGAAGGGCGGGGATTGCTGAAATGGTTAGAAGTGAGATACAGGAGTAGGATTACAAACAGGATGAAGGAGGGAACATGAGTCATAGAAGTTGTTACAGGATGGGGCCAGGAGCCATAGGAGGATTTCGGGCAGCCTGGCAACGTTAGAGGTTTGTTCCACGAATGGGACAAATTTCCTTTTTTAGGTTTGCTCTTTTCTCGTTTATGCCCGTTATCACCTCAAGCCTATTTTCTCCTGTTTAGCTAGTTATTGCCTTCGAAATTTTCTTGGCACTAGCCTTGCTTTTTTGGTGTGATTAATACCAATATCCACATTACGTACCGCAAAGGCAGCAACTGGAGGGGTGATAGAAACCTTCTAGTTTTACTTTTAAGTTTTGTCCTTCTGTTAATTTGTGGCCTGGTTTTGAAATATTTTTAGCTTCGTTTCTTGTGAAAAGGAGGATTACATGATCACATGCTGTGTGCCTGAATATTTCTGTTTATTCCCCCTTGTGACTTACACTTACCTTGGCCAATGGATTCAGATTTGGTGACGGGATGTTGCACAGGTACAGAGTCCTAGAAGCTCTGGGCGTAAGGGTAGGTAGGTAGGGTACAGGAACCCAAAACTGTCCACATCCTCCTCCCCAGAAGAGGAGCTGCATCAAAACCAAAACTGTATTATTAGCCACCAGTGATTTCTCATGAACAGGAGACTTTATAACCACCCACACCATGGGAAAAGTTTTGATCAAAGCTTGTATCCTAACGGACATGAAATAATCCAAATGCAAGATTCAAAGCCAAGAGAAACAAGGTTTCATAAGTGATTGGTTGGGGTTTCTTTCACAACAGGCAAATGGCAGTTACATCCAACTCAAATTGTTATTTCATTTACAACCTTTTTTTTGGAGGGGTTAATTGCATATTTAGGAAAAACAGAAGGCATATGCATCAGCCAAAAGGAAATAGCTTGTTACCATTCTGAAATGCTCTACCAGTCTGCGGACATCTTTTAGAACGTCAGTCAGCATCAAAATGAGTTTCCTTAGAGTGCTATTCTTTTTTTTATTATTTTTTTCAGCAAAGTAGATTGCAGCTAGAGCATGGTTTGGAATGGAATATAGTTGGAGTGCATTGTGTCTTCCCAAGTCAGGATTTTCTTAAAGATAGTTCTCAGTTCTTTGGAAAAGAGCTGCAGCAGCATGCAAACAATTTGGCTCCTTCCCTGGGGTGTGAGTAGTGTTCTCACTAGCGTCAGCAGGAGCAGTTGGTTGCCAATGCAAGTTACTGCTGATATCCTGATTTTTTTCCACAAGGCCATTGACTGCCTATCTGTGGGGATCAGAGGAGTCAGGAGTCTTTGTCTCCCCCAAAAGAAAGACACTGCCAAATACTGAGCTTCCATGCCTGTAGTGGCTTCAGGGTCCTGCCTGGGTTGGAATGTGATCAGGGTTAATGTAATCCCTTTGGGGAATAAAAGTTGGAACAAACACATAGGGGTTGTTTATCTGAGTAGAGCAGAGAGGTGTGTAAGTCTTTTTAGATGATGAATGTGACTTTCCCCACTTCATCTTCAGAATCAAATTATGAGCACACTTTCGTTTGGAAGAGTTGTCCCGTTGGCTTTAGCACCCCTTTCATGCTTTGCTGCAGTTGCCACCTGAAAACTTATACCAAGTAACGTGTACCAAGTTACGCTGTTACCACATTTCTATAGGTAGATCTTTTCCTTCACTAACACCTAAACATGCTACAAGGTTCTTGTGTGTACTGTGCTGCTGCGAAGTTGCCATCTATGGAGGTTTTGCTGGCTGTCAGCAAACTTGCAGGCACAGGCATGCGGCAACTTAGGCTGAGCATGAAAAAGAGGTTGGGTAAGAGCAAGTTCCATGGTCCTTTAAGTTAAGTCCATTTTTGTCTGCTTAATCAGCCTAGAACAGCTCAACATTCGCATCTTGTTGGTATTACCTTGCTAGTAAGGAACTGAACTGCTCCTTTTGTGTGAGAGTCCTGGCACTTCACAGAGTCATGCACACACCTGCTATGGATTGTCTATGGAGATTCTGCCTAGTTGATAAATATTGGAGCTTTCCACTAGGTAATGATATTGATGATGGCTAGAAAATGATATTTTCTTGTTACATGTTAAAGCACGCAAGAGCTCTTACTAAATGTGAATTAAGTATGTTTAAAAAATTGTAGTCGCAGCACAAGCTCTTAAAATACATGTTTTATTTAAAGATAACAAATATTGCCACGGGCATTTAACATTTTCTTCAGTATTTTTTTAAACATTTTTCTGTACACAAAATACATGTTTTCCTTTGTGGTTATTGTTCATCCTCTCTCTTGCAGTTACAGGATGATTTTACAGTTACAGTGGATTTTAATCTTGTATATGATTGCAAACACTTATTTAGATTTTAGATTTTAGCTTTCACATCTGTAGTGATGTAAGAGAGTCTGAAAAGCAAAAACCTAAACCTAAACATGTATGTGTTCATGAGAAACAGGAATGCGCTGTTTTAGACAAGGTAGTGTTTTCTTCCCTAGAACATAGACTTTGTTTTCTCAAACATACCTTGTATATAATGTGTGGGAGTATTTAGACTGAATATTGGAGGTAGGGTCTTATATTTTATTCTTGCTTTTCACAGGCTTTGGGGAACCATGAGTTTGATGGAGGTGTGAGTGGATTATTGGACCCTCTTCTTAAAAATGCCAGTTTTACAATCCTGAGTGCAAACATTAAGGGGAAAACCCCATTAGCAAATGAAATGATGAAATACGTTAATCCTTTTACAATAGTACACTTTGACTCAGAATCAGTAGGAATTGTTGGCTACACTACAAAAGAAACTTCTTTTCTTTCACAGCCAGGTATGTTTTCTTTCGTATATGATTTAATATCCTTTGTTACTGTTTTATTACTTGCCCAATTGTTTGAATCCAAAGATGAATGTTGTCAGCTGATAAGTGAAGAGGTTTATTGTTTTATCAGTATTTACTTGTATTATTCAACATTGGCACGGCCCAATTTTTAAACTGGAGAAGGCTTGATAACATTAAAAGCCATTTTCATACAGACCTGAATTACTTAAATTATTATTTGTTTATTTAGCATTGGTGAATTATCTAAGAATAAAAGAAAGTCAGTGAGACTGCAGGAGAGCTGGAGGGGCCTTTAGGGTTTTTATTGCTGTTTGGGTTTTTTAATTTATCTGCTTTTATATTTAATTATTTATCCATTTAAACAAATGTTAAAACATGAATACAGCTTGTTTCTAGAGTGACATGTATTCAAACCAAGACGTTTCTCTGTATGTTGGAAGTTTTGCCCTTGGATGCTTCCATGCTCAAGCCCTAGTCAGAGCAAGGAGAGCTTCATATGTATTTTTGAAGCAGAAGTTGCCTAAGATGTTTTTGGTCTCTCAAATGTTTCCAGAAATTAGACTGTAGAAGGAACACCCATTCAGCTTTTACCACAATTGCTTCATTCATGGGTAAAATTAGAATTGATGAGGAAAAAGACTTCTCAATTTCTGACTATTTTTTCCAACATTTAAGGGGGTTTGGTTTGTTGAGGTTTTTTTTTTTTTTTCAGTAAAATAAAATGGTCTACTGGAATGAGAAACACATTTAAATCAGCTGTAGGAGATCTGAGTCACTGCCTGCTCAAAGCTCAGCCCTCCTCTGACAAAATCAGACTTCTTTCCCTGGTTTTTGCAGTAGGGATGCCCTAAGCACCAGTTTAAAAAATTTTCCACATTGAAAAAGGACTTTGTATTATTACTTCTCTTTCCATTGCCTAGTAATAAAGAAGCAATATGTAGCTTTGTTGAGAAAAGGAATATTCAATACTTTGAGGAAGTATTAGAACATAAAACTGTTCCTTCCGTGCTTTTTAATTCCGATGCGATATGTTTAAATTATCAGGAAGTGGATGTCTGAGGTCAGAACAGACTTCTGTATCTCACTTTTATTTTACAGTGATGTGGTTTTGGATCCCTTTCTTCCCCCAACAAAAAAGAAAATTATCTGTATTTTGTGTAGGCAATAGAATTCCATCTGTGCTTGAGGGCATGAGTGTAGATACCATCTGACATCATGCTGTTTGAAAAATGGATGGACAACCAATATTGCTCGTCATTAAGGATTAATAAAGTAGATCTCAGCTCTTCTTCCAAACAACTGTGCTGGTGCAATGAGGTCATCAAATTAACTTTCTTGCAAATAAATATACTAGAGGAAAATCCAGATAGTGTTGGAATGATTCTCTGAAACATTTAAGTACATTTCCCATAACATCTAGACATCATATTGAATGCCTCAGTATGCTGAGACACTGTAACAGAGACCACAACTAGAAAAAACAGTGTTAAAAGGGAAGGCTTGTTAGCGCCATAGATGGAGCTGAAGCAGCCCTAAGCTGAGTATATCCCACAGTGTAAATGGGCAACAAGCAGGGCACATTCTGACAGTAACGTTAGAGTTTTTATAATTTCCTGCTTTGCCTTCCCAGTGTGTCGGGGAACATTTGGAAGCTTTGAAAACGTGAATTCAGGATTTGTTAGTATAACTCAGGGACTACATGTCACCTGTGACCTAGCAATCCTTCAGACTGATAAAATCATGGCAGAGGTGGGTTGGTGGCAAAGCAATTATCAACCTAATCCCTTATTTTGATGAGTAAGGTATGTTGTGAATTTTAAATTCAGCACCTTGCTTATCTCTACACACTTCCTCCAGATGATTTCGTTTTCTCTGCAGTGGTTGCTTTGGCGTGCTGTACACTCTCAGGGCACTATCAAGGCAAACAGGAAGCTTGAAAATGCTGAAACATGTGAATTCCTACATGACTGCTTTCCATGGAAATCTTTTGAGAGTGTGATTTCTTCTGTTGTTAAATCTCAGTAACTTCCACAATTATGAAATTACAGCTTGTACTTTTCATAGTCTGCTTAAAACAGCTATCATATCAACATACTTGAACAGAGTATCAAGTCCCTCAGTGTTTCCACTGTGAAGGAACAATTAATCTCTGCTGAAGGTACTGTTAATGTTACTGTTTGGAAACCGTAGGGATGGGGAACTCTTAGCACAATTTATAGATTACAGCCAACTGGCAGTTTTTCTAAAGTTCTCCTCTGTTCTGCTGTATTTCAGCCGAATGCCCAGCCAGTTTTCCATGTCCTGCAAGAGTTGTTCAGAACTTGACGGAGTTGTCTATGTATTTGCTTTGCACTGATAATCCCAAGACCATCTTTCTAGTATTCCATGATACCAGCTCACTTGGTTTAGTTCTGCAATGATGTTGTAAACCCCACAAAACGGTTAATGTCTTTATCTGTCCTGAGAGGTGCTGCATACACATTTGATGCTGTGATATTATATATCTCATATTGTCCACTGTCTTTTCATACAAGGTAGAAATGCAACGCTGCTTACTCTCTAACCCTACAGGCAGCAAAATTAGTTACTAAAACTATAAACTTGGCAGAGTTTTCTTAAATGGAATTTTAAATTCCATTTATTCCACTTTATTCTGGCTAGCTTGCATAATATTTTTAACATGCAGCCAGTTCTTTTTCCTTGTTCATTTATAGCACAGTTTGTATGTTTTATCTGAAATTCTACCCCATCTATAAAGAGAAGAGGATACCACATCAGTTAAATGCCTTGAAAGAGAAGTGAAATACTGACACAAGCAATAACTAACTCTTAAATCAGCACTTTATTTCAATTCAGATATTTTTGAAAAACACACAGTGGAGTGCTAAGCAGTATATTGCTTTTTGCCTAGTTTCTTAGAGAAACGGGCGCTGTGTAACAGCTCTTACAGTCACGCGCTGTATAACTTTTGAACCTGCTGGCCCGTTTCCGCTCAATTAGCTCAAGCGCTGAGATGGTTGGGGCACGAAGCTGCATGAGATGCCACGGCTAGGTCGCGGAGAGGGGGTGCAAGAAGCCCCTGCAGCCCCTAAGCAGGCGTCCCTTTCTGAGGACGAGGTGGGCAGCAGGCAGTCTCTGGGCGGGGGGGGGGGTGGCAGTGCCGC